AAAAATTGTGGTGTGGATTTTATAGTTATTGAGTGTAGACGTATTAGCTCAAACAAATTCCTACGCAGGGTGAATAGTCATTTATATAATGGCGAGGTCGATAGGTCGACAATGCCATACAAGTACTGTAATGTAAGCGAGACTGTTCGTTTTATGTAATCTTATACTCATTAGTTCGAGTGTGAAAATTTACGTGTTAGAATTATCGAGTCATTGTAGAAAGTCTATTAGCGTATCTATATATACTTAAATAATTATTAGATTTTTCATGAAAAGTACGTTTGAACTTTGCATAAATTTAATATCAAATCGCACCTTATATAGCTGAAGTAGAGATCACACCAGGAGGTAGAAACAGCTGTCAGCATGATGACATGAAGTTCATTTGAGGCATACAGTTTATCTATAAGTTTGTTGCGTCCATATTTTAAAAACCAATCTATAATCACATGCAACCGATTTTATTCTTTTGTTTTGTGGTCTGCTTTTGGTTTTTGTTTATAGGAGAATCCTTTCAATTTGTGTTGACATTGTTTTTACAATCTTGAAAAGTCTTTCATAATAAAGTAAGACAGAAAAATAAGTTGTTTGTAAACTATTGGAATTGCTGTTCTAAAAGAAAAATCAAAATGAAAAAAGAAAAACATAATCTTACTTGTCCTGCTTATTCTATACTGAGAAACACATACATTAAGCAATATTACTAGCGACGCCCCAGTGTGTTTAAATTAATTGAATTATTGTCATGTCAAAATATTAAAAGATTAAGTAGATTTGGTAATTATTTACGATATGCTACCGCTAAAAGAAAACCCGTCGTTCAGTAATATTGCTGAAGTATGTATTCATTTTTGTGTGCTAAATGTTAATATGGAATTGTCATCTTGAAAATTGAAATATGTTTTGTGAACTATGTATACATTTAACAACTTGAACCTAGAAACCTGAACGTCCGGCAAACATGAGTGATTTGGTAACTGAAACAGTGTGCAGAAAAAAATACACTGGACCATATAGCTGTTTCGTAAGACAGGGGCCGTGGTGGTCGAGTGGTTAACCCTTTCATCCCTATTCAACTTTATTAGGCTCTACTCTGCATTTATCTAGATAAGTCAAGTATGGTCTACAGTGGTGAAAGGGTTAAGGCGCTGACATTCTGCTACTGTTAACGTATGCCGAACTATTAATTCATTTGCAATTGATAACAAAAGAGGATCTACAAATATACATTTATTTACAATATACAATATCTATATAAGCATACTCTTTCACACTCACTAATAACTCTCATACAATTCTACATTGGACATATATATTATGATTTACTTACATCTATAAATAGATAAATATATATATTATATTACACCTAAATCCCTAAATCTATAATATAATGAATAGTCTTTGTAGCTTCCCACTCGAACAGATCACAAAGTTCCGTTAATGTTAATTTCAATCCCGTCTTCTGGCAAACACAATCAGTAGCCAAACACTCTAGGAATGTCCCCCTGGTCAACTGGCAGATGACATCTATGGCTGAACTGTATCTCAGCTGCTGAAGTCACAGTTGCTGTGTCGGAGTTCAACTCCACTCAACTATTACCGGGCCTCCATACCACAGTATGTCACATCATGCTCCCGGCCTCCATAATAGAGTACTATGTCTCCATATCTAGGGAAAATATCTACACGTTCCCTCTCTGGATAATCATATCCATATGTATAAGTCAGTTCATAAAACTGCTGTCTCAGTGCCTCGTAGGTGGAAAACATGGACAATAACACCGTCGGCCATTACGGGTTTCCATACTTTTGTCCTCAGACAAAACTGACAGGTCTCTCACTGGGAAATAAGCTACAAAATATAAATAACACTAGTAACTACATAATTCTACACTATCATGTTACATATCTATAATATACGCTTTAAACATATTACTTATACAACATTCTGCAACATGCGTAAACACACCACGTCGCTCACTCATCTATGCTCAATCGTATATATTAATGACCACACTAACATTGATATATTATTACATTTGTATAATATCATTGTGACTTTGTTTATTATAAATAAATAAGCCCCAATGATCCTAATTCAATATCTAAACAACTACCACACAAACCCATTCGCTCTCACTGCGCTCCGTACAATTTCGCACCTGTTTACTATTTGGAAAATACCGTTTATTACACGATCAAACATTCACAGAATCAACAATATAACTCAGGAGATACACACAGATCTATCGATGATTAAAATATAACTTACCGTGAGATGTATTTCACGCTAACTCCCGAATACTTCACAATAACAGAAGCAGTAATGAAACACAATGGTCACGCAATTACACCTGCCTTTCACACCTGTTCAAACAACTCTGCGCGTGCCCAGGTAAATATAAAGTTCGCGCGCTTTTCTTTACCCGCGAAATACAAATACCAATAACCTACCTTTCCTATTTAATACTCGATCATACTTACCGAATGGAATATAAAGTAACCTCAAATGTCGATATGTGACAGCTACCACTAGCCCACAACACTGGGTCGCGGTTTCGAGGCCTGCGTGAGGCAGTCACGAGGTACTGCCTGCTGGTCGGTGTTTTTTTCTCCCTGGGTACTCCGGCATTCCTCCACAAACCAAACCTTGCACGTGCTTAAATGACCATAGCCTGTTAATAGGACGTAACACACAACAAATAAACAGTCCAGGACCCATCGGAGATGCTAGGGACCACAAACCTAGGAGAGTAAGAACTCCACCAGTAGATGCTACCACCTTGTATCTATCGAATTTGTGGACATTTGTAATAGTTAAAGTATGCCAAAAAGTGAGTAACATTGCGCCATACAGTCGTTTCGGCCTTTTAGTGCTCAACGGTGATATTTGGGCTAAAAGGATTATATGTTCACATTATTTTTGAACTTTTTACACAACCAATAAGTGTTTCTATGTGACGTTCATAGAAACACTTAACGTCACAAAGAAACACTTATTGGTTGTGTAACAAGAAATTTTCATATTCCATACTTATGTTCACGATAATGCTTAAACTAACGTATGTACATATATATAAATATTTAACAACAATTATGAAACAAGTTATTTCAACTTATACTTATCACTTTTGTTGGCCCGCAATGGTTAATTTTATGTTTGAGGAAACTGGAGTATCTGGAGAAAACCCTCGTGGTCAGGTAGGTTACCCAATACCTGTTCACGTCCGATCGGGGAATCGAACCCGGCCGCCTTGGTGAAAGGCAAGTGCGCGCGCCATCCACTACACCACCGACCACCCATACTGAAACAATGAAAATTTCGTGTGTAGAAATATTCGCTCTGCGACGTTTTGAACTAATCGCTGTTTGAAATTTGAAATTTTCTTTTTATTTTAATCTATATAATCTATCAACATCCGCATGCTGATACTATCAGCGCGAAAACGCCAACATTTCTACACCACGACACTTTCCACATTTACAGTATTGCATTTTATATATATGCCTACGGGACAAAGACATTATTCCTACTCTAATCATTATATTTTCTCATTTTATCCGTTTTACTTAAAATTAGTATTGAGCATAGTTATTAGCCCTTTCCGGATAAGCACAACCGTCAGCACACAATTACTATCGCCCATTAGTGAGACTTTCCGGCATACCATTGTGGTCTGCGTATAAACTCCGAGTGTCAATATGTATAGCCAGTTTGTATTTTTATCATTCCGAACTTACATCTACGGGTGTCCTGATGAGCGAAAGATGAGAATTTCCGATAAAGTGAGATTGTGATTAAAAACTGGACAGATTACGACAATCCCAGCTAAAAAAATGTGTATAGATCCATGCTTAAAAATGCATAGTATGTCATGATTATGATAGTGTATTACATATGTTAGAAATATACAGGTTGTGTAGGGATAGCGTCCCTTTGATAGGAAAGTGACACACGGAAAGAAACTATCTAGGTCCTCGTCCATATCACAACGCTAGTAACACTTAAACCCCTTTTTTCCGAATACCACTTGTATTCCTCTATCAAATATACTAGAAGGCTGACCCCGGGGGTGGGGAGCTCCGGGGTCAGCTTCTTAACAATCTAGTGTCCTCATGCAAGAAGTCTCTCATTCTACCATGTGATATATATAAACATTTTAAGTAAGCGTGCTTTCATTCTTTCATTCTGTAAATGCTTGAGTTTGTATACCTTTTAAATGGTAGAAAGAAGAGAAGGTACAGTTATATATGTATAAGTATCACATAATATAAGTAACAATTACACTTCAGTTCTGTTACCGAAATGAATATAGATGACGTTTTTAATTATGAAAATAGGCTCAACTCTTGACTGTGACCTTTAAATTATATATATCAACTGTATTTCTTCTTCAATATACTTTCTGGTGTTATTAAATATTCGATAAATATAACATAATTATTTGTTGTCGCTTAGATTATTTCAAAATATCTTGCATTTTAATCATACGACGAGAAAAGACTTTGAGCTAAAACTGTTCCCTATTCATAAAAAACAAATTGTTGGCGATTCAAAATAACAACTAATATTTTATATAATGTCCCTGAAAATTGTTCGTTAGGTATATAAACACAGTTAAAAAAAAACTCCTGAAACGCCTGATTGGAAAAAACTACTTTACAGCTGTACACTATTCTTTATCCATTTAACCCTGCATTTTTAAATTGGACTTGCCAAGTCTTTGATAAGGTAAGGTTCAAAAGTGACTTTAGGGGTGAATGGGTTAATCTATAATTGCACGTTGATCTTTTAATTTGCTAGATAATCAAAGGACTAGCTCTACATCACCTCAGAATATCGTATAAGATACAGACACTATGATCACAGCAAGCTGTCATCTATAGAAAGCAAGCCCCAGCGCAGCCCACGTGACGGATGAAAGCAGCCTCCGAGTGATGCGGATAGAGCGGAGGCTGATTGCTGATGCTGGCCACATCTTACTGTCTTGTCCATTTCCATACGTTCAGTATGTGCGGAAACCACGGAGAGAGTAGGCTCGGAAACACAGCACACAACGCGAGAGTTTACTTGTAGCTGCTCCAACCTTCGCTGCAAACGGTTATTGATTAAGCCTAGCCGAAGTCTCCAGGACTTGGTGCCTAGGTCTACGGAGCCGTATCCAGCATCAGTAGCTCACATTGCTGTGCCGGAGCAAGACACTAACTTCGCTTCAACTGTCGGCGTTTCTAATCCAGATTCAGCTTATGTTATGTTGTGTACAAATAGACGTATACTTTTGAGAGATTGCAGTGCGCGAGACGTCTATCACTGTTGATTGGCGTATTAAGGACTAACAGCTATTCGGTGCTTGTCATTTTGTGATAGCTTTGTGTTTTGTATCTATATACACAGATAGTGAATAGTTTTAAGTGTGAACGCACACAATACATAGTTGACTGGCCTTTCTATTCTAAATATTACAAAACAGTTTGTTGATATCGAAAAAAGTATTTTTAACTGCTAGACATGATTGTGATAACTATTTATGATTTCACCATGTACCATTAAACTACACAACACTGGGCGTAAAACCTTCCTCGGATCCATTCTGAACTTGTTGGAAAATCGCAGATTTTTTTCTTGGATCCATACTTAAGTAGTGAAAATAAGTAAAGAGTGTTCTCGGATTCATTCTGAACCAGTGGAGAAAAACACGTTTACTTACCACGATCGTACTGATTTCAGCCGCAAAACAAGAGGAGTGTCTAGTCTTTTTACAGTTTCTCAAATCACAGCTAAATATAAAAACCCAGACATTTGTTATTTTACTGTGATTCGCTCTGACTTGGTATTCAACTCACGTGAAGGATTCTGACGGGAACTAGATAACGCTATTCCTCATACCTAGATACAGTGGCTGGGCCATTTAACATAGCTCATCACCGTCCTGTGTTCCAAAGCGAAGGGAAACCGACCTTATCTTTGCGGTATCATTTCTCCTGTGATAGTGGTAAGTACATACCTCTTCTATCAGCCGCATCTACATATGTATCTCTGCTGTAGTTATATATATGATATACCCTCGCATGCACAACACGTAAAAACACATTTAAATTATTCACGTTAAAACAGAAATAACTGGCACACCGTCTGTATCTGACGTAAAAACGAACTGATTATTTCCATGATTACTTAATGTTTCACTGAGATAGCTCTATACCACAGGATAACTTGTTTGGACTTAATGGTCTAATCAAGGTTACCGACTAAGTTTCAGGCGTTAAAATTGAAATGTCTGTAACGGCAAAATGGAACAAATTATTGATAATTTCATTAAAATAGTTCATTTGATTTGAATTTATAGAACATTTAGATTCTACACAATTTCCCGAAAACTTTTCAATATTTTTATGTATAAATGATTTTGCGCAAACGTTTATACATACTTTTGATAATACTTTTACATGAATTCACTAAAACGTTGATTTGATTTCAATTGAAATTTCACATAACTCCAGTTAAACTTTTCAACGATTTCACTTAAATATCTACATGATTTCGCTCAAACAATAATTAATGCCTTCATGTGATTTCGCGATTGATTTTCGTGATTTCACTCATCTATTTACATGATTTCACTAAACTATTTACATGATTTCGCTTATATGTTTATCCATATGATTTCTCTGGATACCAAAGGAATGGTCTTAGCTCCAATGTGAAAAGTTTGCGTACAGCGTTGCGATCGCAGTCGCTACCACAAATACCAAATAACCATTGTGACGAGATCGTGTGGGGTATTATGCAGACCTAGCATTATTCTGTCTAGAAAGTTAAATTTCATAAACTACTTGACAATCTGACCTTAATGTTTTCCCTTTTCTGTAAATTTAAAAGGTGTCAGAATCTTCGATATTAAATAATTACATGTAGTTGTAGAGACAGACATTTTCGGGTTCCTTAAGACGTTTTATACAAAACAGAAAAAAATGAAACGAGAAATATAAAATGTTATCAACAAATAACATTATCGTCTAGAAATGTTTGGCCTCCTGGCCTTCTTCAGGATATGACGAAATGTTTATGGTTCTAGGAGGTTTCAAGCTTGCCAGATGAAGTATCCCAGAAAGCCAACATTTCAAGCTGATAAATTATTTATTGCTTGATAACACTTACAGATGTACATAAACTCAACGAAGGAATGCTTCCACTGTGTCTAGGATATATTGTGTAATGGTTCTATATGTCTTGAGCGTTAATGATTTCGACCTTTATCTAACTTATACCTAATTCCCGGTTGTAATTTACGTTCTGAAAGATGAATGCAAATAAGATAATGTAATTCTAGAGGCAACGCATTTAAAAATAGACACGTTTTCCTTTAAAATAATGCGTTTTAAAGGAATTATTAAAGAAATGATCGTGCAATGTAAAAGTTTGGATCCAAATCGACCTAAGACATACAGGACTGTTAAAAAGCGGAAGAAAATAAAGTCATTAGTGATTAGTATTAAAGAAAAACAAGTCCCGACAGCGTTGTTGGTAATTAGATAAGAAGTGTAAATTGTTTTGAGAACTCTTCGCTATAACCACATGTGTGATAACTGCTATTTCTTGTATGACGAGTTGGAAGATCGTTCAAATACGTTATTTCCCTACGGATCCCGTTAGGTAGCGCTTAATGTTTGAGCGTTCCCTATTATGTAAAACTATAATTGTTTAATCTCGTACCATATATATTACTGATACATTTCGTGCCTTTACGAATATTACAACTAATTCCTACCGAAAATTGTTTCTTAATTTTTGAGATTATGAATAAAATGAACAAATGTATTTCACTATTTTTACTCCAATTTCACTACGTTCTCCGACTTGTTAAAAGACAAACTTTAATCCTCTACATACGGGTATTGATGAATGCGGACAACATAGTGATATGCAATACCGGGTGCTAAAAATATGCATGGACGATACTTTTAAGAATTTTTAAACAGAAAGATTTTCTGGTGTGCAGCGATTTGAAATAATAAAAATATATATCCGAAACTGCGGTCGTTTTAATAAGTTCACGCTCAATGCTTGATAATCAGGATAAGTTTGGGTTCCTGGTGTACATAGACTATTGCAGGCTGCATCACTAAGCACGCGCTGCCATCATCGAAATCACTCTAATACTTTCTCAAAATGAGAACTGCTCTGTTGTGATTCCACTGTACACCATGGACAACCGCGGTCTTAGACGACAAGCGTTCGGCATGTCTTCTCCTACTGAGCTACACGGTATTGGCTGTATGCGATATCATTGATTATGGTACGTTGTTCAAACGTCTTTGATATACAAATGGTATATCTACTGCCGACCTTTTCTGGTTTCGTTCCTATTCGACGGACAGGGGGCAACGAGCGGCAGTAGGTTCTGCTTTCTCCGATCACAAACGCTTGCTGCAAGGATCGTGAAGGTACCAAGAACGTGTTGTGTTCATGTGGAGCATACATGAGTCATGTGTTGCAAATTCTGCTGATACCCATTAGATTTCGTGACAACGGGGGTATTTTTTCGATTGAGCTGGAAGCTTGTTGTGGACATTAGTTTCTGAATAAGTTACAAAATGTTGAAACTGATTTGTGGTCAAACGCAGTGTAATGATTTCTAGGAATTAGAAAAAAAAGATACTTCGATTTCAGATTAGAGTTGGTACCAGTGACGCAAAAGCCGTGCCATTTCTGAGAAACTTCGGTGTTTTCTTTTCATATTTCCCTGTCCGTCGAAAAACAAATTATATCAATCGCAAAATCGTGTCACTTCAAGTCAGCAATCGGTGCTACAATGTACATACTGCAGTTCCTGATCATAGATGCATGCGAGACTCTCGTTGATCCTTTAGTGAGATCTAAACTAGACTTTAGAGATGCGCTAATGCATGGCATTGCTGGTACTCTGTTGAGGAATCTGTAGGAGGTGAAACATACAACTTCCCGTCTCGTACATATGGGATGAGTACACGGAGACCAAATAACAATATCCTCGAGGTTCTTTCATGGGCTTCCATTAGGTACATATGACATGAGTACACGGAGACAAAATAACAATATCCTCGAGGTTCTTTCATTGACTTCCATTAGGTACATATGACATGAGTACACGGAGACAAACTAACAATATCCTCGAGGTTCTTTCATTGACTTCCATTAGGTACATATGAAATGAGTACACGGAGACAAAATAACAATATCCTCGAGATTATTTCATTGACTTCCATTAGATTATCGTATACACTTTTACTTATTGTATACGTATCAAAAGCCATTCATGGTAATTGTCTAGTGCATCTCAAAGAACTTGTGTTCCCGTACGTTTCAACACGATCCGGTCACAGTCTGGCGCGTTACTGTTTTACCGTCACGACGGATACCGATGTTTTAACAAATCAACATCAAAGATGTGGAACCGTCTACAAATAGTTATGTAAATCGGTAATAAGGTGTTGAACCGTCTGTCAATAGCAATGTAAATCGGTAATAAGGTGTGGAACCGTCTATCAATAGCCATGTAAATCGGTAATAAGGTGTGGAACCGTCTATCAATAGCCATGTAAATCGGTAGTAAGGTGTGGAAACGTTTGTCAATAGCCATGTAAATCGGTAATAAGGTGTGGAACCGTCTGTCAATAGCCATGTAAATCTGTAGTAAGGTGTGGAACCGTCTGTCAATAGCCATGTAAATCGGTGGTAACATGTATTTTCATGAAATCGTTTGAAACGCATCCCTTTCAAACTGCTTTCAAACTTAAACCTTTTAAATAAACTGACTATTTTCTGTTCTGTACTGTTTTCCTCTGCAACCATTAAGAGTATCATATAATCGTCTGAAAAGCCCCAAGATGGGCGAAAGCGCTAGCCGATTATAGTATTCGTGCTTTGTTTTATATATATATATATATAATCAGTAAAACATTCACATTCCCTGTGATGGTTAAATATAAAAAAAAAAGACAAGAGTTTCTTCGACTTCCCTAACACAGGGGAATCTCTGATGAACCTCTAAAGAGGAGAAAGCGCTAGGGAAGTCGAAGAAGCTCTTGTCTTTTGTTATATATATATATATATATATATATATATTAGGAAAAAAACAACGAAAACAACAGGTCTTTAGCGCTTTCATCTCTTCAATGATATTATTCAGGCTCTCGATACTTTATACAATTAGACACATCAGTCCGCCCGAAGAACCCATAAAAGGCAGAAATGCCTAGCGATTTATCTTGGCTACTTGTTATTTTATTCTATATAAACATTATTTAATTTGCAACAGTCACGAAACGCGTAATTCAACTTAAATTAAGCGCTAATACCTAATGGCCAGGGGGTAAGGAAGCAGGTGGTCTAAATGTGGGCGGAAACCGGGGTAGCCGGAGAAAATTCACGTTGTCGGGCAGGTGAACCGATACCCTTTCACGTCCGATCGGGGAATCGAACCCCAGCCGTCTTGATAGAAGGCGAGTGCGCTATCCACTGCACCACTCGACCACCCAAGATACAGTTAAAATCGTTGCTATACTATTACACGTAGCGCAACAAATATTGTAGTTTCATGTTTGTTAATCACTGTTTTATGTCAAACCTTAGTCATACTTAAACAAACTGTCTAAACCAAATTAACACTAGAAGTATGCTCAATCCCCGGGAGGGCTTTTGCGTCAGTTGTCGACCTTGATGTTTGCTTATACCAAAAATCAGAAAAAGGTCTTAATGTATACACAAGTCGCTGAGCGTGAGCTCGTTAAAACGATTACTAGTTTTGAATAGAATTACATATTTCTCAATAACAAATTTCTTTCTTGTACTTCCATAAAATGTGATGAAAAGTCTTGCAAGGAGAAATGCTTGTTTTTACGTGAAAATGATGTAGTTCATATTTTTGAAATATTTTGCTTTTCTAAGAAATTGAAAACCATGATATTTTCGACAAATCGTTATCACATCTTGGTGTTTCCATCGACTTTCCTC